TTTTTTTTTTTTTTAAACTTCCATCTTTGGTATTGTTGTTAGGATAAAATTTTTTTTTTTTCTTTATACAAAATAATAAAAGATATTTATATTGAAATTGTTACCAAAACATAATGTATAAATGATAGGATGTAATTTAATTTTAACAAAAATATCAACAAATTACCAATTTTACCATTTAAATGAAAAGTTTTTAATATTTTGTGGGTTTGTTTTAATATTTTCCTTGCCACATCAAATTTTCGGTAAAGTTAATCAGTAAACAGGATTGCAAAACAGGTGATGGTGTAATAATGAAAATGAATAGTTTCATATTCATGATAGCAGAAATATTATGCATGTGAGGAAAAAATATATTGTAAGAGAAATAAAGAAAGAAGCAGTTGTTGTCATCTATCATAATTATTGTCATAAAATTTAATAAAATTTCCAAATAAATATATTGCAATAAAAAGTTTAATTAAAGTGTTACAAAATTTTTACTAATTTCATTTCACATTTTTCTTTCAAATTTCTATTTTTTTTTTTGTTGCAAAAATTTTACTATGTATAGCAATAATTTATCATATAATGGAGAGAGAGAGAGAAGAAAAAAAAAAAACCTTATTTGAAAGATATTTTCAGAGAATCATTGATTAAAAGTGATGCGACATTTGCGCATGAACAAATTTATGTGGCATTATCAACAGCTGCTTTTCCTATTTCTTTTAGCAATAACAATATGTTATGCTATTCCAATGAGTTATAAATATGATCCATTTGTGATGGATGTAAAACGAGATTCCGGTTTAATGCTTAGCAATGTGATGATGATGAATGATGATATTAGTATCAGGAATATTACCGCTTTGGCTCGTTCTAAACGTAGTTGTTGTGGCTGTTGTTGCTGTTGTTGTTGCTGGCATGTTTTTATATTTGATTTTTAATTAAATTTTATAATTAAAATTTGGGAATTAATATAATAATAATACAATTTATTCTATCAAAGATTAAAACAAAATTATGGAAGCGTAATCAAAATTTTCACCTAAATAATAATAATCATTGCTATCATTATCATATACTTTAGGTATGAGTGTAATATTTCATTATTCGAATTTTAGATTTTTCTTTTTTACAATTTAAGATTTAAGAATTAATCGCTGAATTATTGGGAATTACAATTACAATAATACATGTTTATGCATGAAAATATATAAATGAAAAATTTTGGAATTCTAATTTTTAAACTATCCTTTACATTTATCATCCTTTTTACTAAATATTAAAATGAAATACTCGTTACAATATTTTAAATCATAAAATTCCAATAAATAAGAAGTGCAAAAAAATTGCAATATGTTTAATAAAATTCAAAATTAATATTAGATGTTAATTATTTATTAATCAATTAACACTAAATTATTTTAAGCTGCTGCTGTTGTTTCAAAAAGAAGAAGCGATCAGCTGATGGTAAAGAATTGGGTCAAGGATCATTGTCAAGACGTCGTCGTGCACTTCATGATCTCGAAAGATGGAACTATATGCAAAATACGAAACGAAATATTCGTAGTGCTCTTTTGGAATTGATCTAAATTTATTTCAAATTATTCTTCATTTGCAGTTATCAGAAATTTTCTTATGAAATGTTTTAATATGAATTAGAAATAATTTTGCTATAATTTAGAATGAAATTAGTCATTGTGATTTTTTTTTTTTTTTTTGTAAAAATTAATTTTTAATTTTACAGCTGAGGTACCGAAAAAAGAAAAAAAAAAAAAAGAACAAACTTATCCCTATATCTGTCACATTTATACTGTTTATGTTTGAAAAATACTTCCCTGCTAACGTTGTTTATTTTACAAATACTTACCTCCCAATATTGTTCATTTTGCAATTACTTACCTCCTAATATTTTCCAATTACTTACCTCCTAATATTGTCCATTTTTAAAAATATTTATCTGCCATATTGTCTATTTTAAAAACACTTACCTGTCATATTGTCCATTTCACAAATACTTATCTGCCTAGTATTGTCCGTTTTATAAACAATTCCCTGCCAGTATTATCTGTTTTATAAAAATTTTCCTGTCAACATTGTCATCTGATAATAATTATTAATCATCTGATAATGAAATCAACGATGATAAATTGATTATGTAATTGAAATATGCGAAATTTTAACTCATAATGTATTACTTTTCTATTTATCTTCCATTAAATATATAATTTTTTTCACCCATATATTTTTAATAGTATGTTTTATGTAATTAACATTGGCAAAAGTAAAATATTTATTCGATAAAAGGTTAATGAATTGCAATAAAGATCAAGAAAGCAACTTAAATAGCATATGAGCTAGCTTCGAGTTGTAACTCATTAATTACAACTAATTAATACGAGAGATTATAATAATGAATATAGTGAAATTAGCTAGATGAACAATGATTATATGATTTTTTAGTCCCATAAATTAAACTAAGGCTAAAGTAATTTTAAACAAATAAAAGTAAGATTTGGTTTCTGAAAGTTTTTTCTTTTAATTTGTAATCAGTTATTTGTAGAAAAATGAAATTTTGGTATGAAATATTTTAAGAAAATATCTTTAGATTAATTTAACTGCTATTTTACATCTAAATTTTGATTATTTTTTTAAAGTAAACAAATTGTTTACACAAAAAATTTTTTATTTTAGCATATGAATTTTTGTTTTGGAATTTCAAAATTCATGGATAACATTTCTATTCGTGTTGTTTTAGCTATGAAATGAGAAAAAAAAATCCATTTATTTTTAAGTAACCAATTAAGGATTGAATTAAGTTTGGATTTAATTTTTACTAATGCAAAATAAATTTGATTTACTTATTTATGAATCATACAAATAAAACACAAACTTATGACTGTGATACCTTGAAGTTAAGTGAGTATAAGTTAACCTTGTGCCAAATTAAATTTTAAGCTTTAAATCCGAATCGAAAGAAATACATGATCAGTTTTTAAATCAGAAAATTAGCATAAAAAGGTGCAATATATGACGAATTTCACAATTGATTCTTCTCTTTTTCATCAAGCAAGCTCTTAAATTATTTATATAATAATTACAGTTATTTTGTAATTAAATTCAAATTAATTAATCTGTTACTTCTTACTGATAATTATATCAATACATAGCATGAATACATCATCAGAACATACTTATTATATATTGATAATATCGCAATTTAGACTATATATGTTTATTCTATTCAACTACAACTTATTGATCATAATCATCTGCGATCAATCAAATATAATGATAGTGGTATTTGAAGGAATTACAGGTACTGTGAATTCTTTTAATGCATGAATATTTTCGTAAAATGAAATTATAAAAAATAATAAATACTATTTTTACATTTTTTTAACATTTAAATCATAATTTATTTTGATTAAAAAGAAACAGGATAGCAATTTATTATCATATATTTATCACCAATATCCATACAATGAATGATTTGAGAGAGAGAGAGAGAGAGAGAGAGAGAGAGAGAGAGA